GGGCGCCCGCCCCAGGTCCTGATCGGGGACGTGGAGGACGCCATCTGCCTGCACGCCTTTCACTACGCCCTCTGGAAGCGCTACGGGGCCCTGCCCGAGAGGTACAACTGGCAGCTGCAGGCGCCCGAGCTGCCCTTCTACCCGCTGAGGCCCGAGCTGGTGGAGTCCACGTACCTGCTGTACCAGGTAGGGCGCCGGCGTGGTCTCGCGCCCTGAGGGGGCGGGCAGGGCCGGGAGCCCAGTGTTGGCCGTTTGTTTGGCCGAAGAAGCCGCTGGGCTGGCCTCACGGCCGGCGCGCCCTGCGCAGTGACTGTTGGGGCCGAAGCGTCTCCCTGCTGCCAGCTGCGCGTGGGTGTGCGTCTCTGCCAGGCGCGTCTCAGTGCCCTGGGGAGCCCTCTCGCTGGGGGTAGCCGCCGGCGGCGCAAGGCCGCGTCCCCCCAGCGCCCTCGCCCTCCCCGACCTGCTGCGTCTGGGTGGACAGGAGGCTGAGCGGGCAACGGGGCGGGCCCTACAGGGGGCCCGGGGCCCCGGAGCTCTCGTGAGGGCGGGGCTGCCGCCCGAGTGCTGCCCGGGTCCCCTCTGCCTCACTGCCTTTCTCCCGTAGAGTGGGGGTCGCCTCACAGCGTGGCCTGGCCACCGCGGCATCCCGGGGCTGGCTTTCCGCCGTGCGGGGCGAGCATTGGCGGAGACCCCGGGTGCAGACTTCCGGTGGGGTCTGAGTCTCGGCTCCCCGGAGAAACCGTGTCCTAAAGCAAACACCCTGGAGCAAGAACAGACGGGTGGGCCCGAGGCCTGAGCGCTGCCAGGACGGCAGAGCGGGGAGCCCCCCGTCGGCTCCCTCAGCCCTGCGGGCGCAGCAGAGCGCCCGCACCCGGTTTCTCGTGTGTCCCCAGGCCCGGCGCCGGCAGGGGGCCGTCGTCCTCCGCTTGGGGAGCCACGTGGGTGCTGCCCCACCCCGGCACAGCACCGAGGCTGGGCTCCCGTCCGCGCGGGTCCCGGGCCTGAGCCCGTCTGGGGGCCCCGGGCCCTGGGGTGGCTGCGGGCGGCGAGCCGAGGCCCTGCTGGATCGCGTTTTCTCCTGCTCTCTCTAGGCCACCAAGAACCCCTTCTACCTCCACGTGGGAATGGATATTCTGCAGAGTCTGGAAAAGTACACGAAAGTCAAGTCAGTTCTCTAAGTTCCTTTCTCTACGGTTTGAGTTGTTCTGGGAAAATACTGCTCGGCAGTTCAGTTACTGAGCAGGCCCCCGACGCCGCTCAGGCGTGCGGGGGAGCGTTGCGCTGAGTGGTGGACACCGCCCTTTCTCAGCGCAGGCGCCCTGACTTCTGGCCCGTTGCCCCGCGAGTTCCAGCAGAGCGGGCCGCTTATTTCAGCTGGGCCCCGCGCGGCACACGGCACAGAGCGTGCCGGGGCCGCTTCGGGCACACCCCGGGGGCACCCCGGGGGCCGGCCTCGCCCCTGTGCAGCGCCCGCCGCGGGCCCTCGCGTCTCCGCCGGGCGGTAGATGCGTGCGCATAACGAGCCCTTTCGGGGCGCACGCGCCTGTTCCAGTCTCCAGGCGAGAAGCCAGCGTCACAGACGCGGCGCTGAACGTCTGCAGCAGCTTTCGGTGGGCTGCCGCCAGGCTGGGGCTGTGAGGCCTCTGTGGCACCCCCAGCCGGCTCGGGCAGGCGGGCGGAGGCGGCTCACGTGTGGTCTTGCAGGTGTGGGTACGCCACGTTGCACCACGTTGTGGACAAATCCAAAGAGGACCGGATGGAGAGCTTCTTTCTCAGCGAGACCTGTAAATACCTGTACCTGGTGCGTGTGTGCGGGAGGGTGCGGGAGACACGGCCCTGCCCGGAGCGGGCCTGCGGCCTCTCGGGCAGCGTGGCCTGGGCATGTGGCCTGGCAGCTCGGGCATGGTGGTGCCCGGCAGGAGCGGGAACGGCACCCGGAGGCGCCTGCCCCTCGCTGGGCTGCCCCGCCGGCCCCCAGAGCCCCTCCCCCGTGGAGAGGTGAGACGCGCCGTCCTGGGCTGGGCCTTGCTCTTCCACACCGCTTCGGTCTGCCGGGAGGGGCGTGGTGGAGCTGAGCGGCCTCCAGGGGGCCTTGAGCCTGGCGGCCGCCTGCCTGGAGGCGTCTGGCTCGGGCGAGCCCGGTGGGCCGCACACAGGGAAGCTTCCAGCAGCTCCTCGGTGTCCGGCCGGGCCCTGGCTGCCGCCGCCGTGTGGGGGCCGGGTGTGGATGGCTCCAGGCGCTGCTGTCCTGGCAGCTGCACAGATGCGTGCGTGCTGCAGGCTGTGGGGTGCAGGTCTGGGGGTGCGGGTCAAGCCCTTCCTGCCGCAGCACTGCTGCCACAGGCCCAGCCCGCGGTGCCCGCCCTCGGGCCCGGCTGGGACGTCTGCGGGCTGGG